GGGTACACGGCTCTCTGGTGGTGCCCGAGCCAAGCCCCTGAATTCCAGTGGAACGTGGCTCTCCTTACGCTCTCCTAACCTGTCCATTTTAGAAATAAATTTGTAATGTGTACATATGTGTTTGTCTGCCCGGTGACTACTTCAGGGTTCAGCACATGACAGGTAGCAGGACAGGCTACAAAAAAATTGCCGAAGACACAAACACCCTAGAGTTTTGGATAACCAAAGCAGGCAGAAGATTAAATATTCTGCAGCACCTGGTCAGACAACTGGCCCCTGAGAAAGAGAAACAGTCTCAAAGAGAAAGCAGAAAAACAAAACAACCCCCAACAGAACAAAGCGTTGAGAGAGAACCCAATACTGCCCTTGCATTTGTATGATTTTGGTGATGTAAAAAAAGCTAAAACAAAGCAGAACTACAGTTTGCATAGGCAATGAGCATCTCCCACAAGGGCTCAGGTGTTGGGAGCTTGGCTCCCAGCGGGTGAGGTTGTCTGGGGAGTATCTGTGAACATTAGGAGGTGTGGCCCAGATGAAGGAAGTAGGTCACCAAGGGTAGGTTCTTGGGGAGTACCGTGTCCCAGGCCCCTTCCCGTCCTTCCTTTCCCTCTCTGCTTCCTGTCCACTTCCACCAGACTCTGCAGCCATGATGCTCTGTTCAAGTGCACTGGCGCCACACTAACCTTCCCACCTCGGAGTTTGTCCTCTTAGGTGGCTTGGTCACAGCAACGCAAAAGTAACCGACGAGAGAATAAAGTCCTCGGCAGACATTTCTCTGAAGATGTGGGGAAGGTGGCTGGGCAGGGCGAAGCGCTCCCCGTGCAAGTCTGATGACCCGAGTTCCATCCTTGGAACTCACAGTGAGAGGAAAGAACGGACTCCAAAGTTGCCCTCTGACCTCCACATGCACACAGTGGCATGAATGCACACACACACACCTCATACATACACACACACATAAATAAATAAAATAATAAAAAGATGTATACAGCAGCCTTCCCCTTTATCTGGAGAGGACACTTTCTAAGAACACCAACAAACGCATGGTACAGACTAGCGTACTGTGCCAGGCGGTGGTGGCGCACGCCTTTAATCCCAGCACTCGGGAGGCAGAGGCAGGCGGATCTCTGTGAGTTCGAGGCCAGCCTGGTCTACAGAGTGAGTTCCTGGAAAGGCGCAAAGCTACACAGAGAAACCCTGTCTCGAAAAACAAAAACAGACTAGTGTACTGAGCCCTATAGAAAGTGCTTTTCCTGTGTACACATATATTCAATGATAGAGTTCCGCTTATAAATAAATCAGGAACAGGAAGAGATCAATAGCAATAGAGCAATTAAAACAACATGCTGAAATAAAAGTCACATGAACACGCCCCTCTCACTTCCAAACTATCTGTACATTCCCTGCATTAGAATGATCTTATCAGGCTGCGGTTGGCCAGGAGCAAGTGCACTGTGGATGAGGAGGCTGGGAGAAAATGCAGTCAGAAAAGTACCTGCCAATCACGAAGGCCTGAGTTCAGACACCCAGCACCCTCTAAAGGTTGGGTACCTGAGCACACATCTACAACCGCAACACTAGGGGCTTCGGGGAGGCAGCCCAGCTCCGGGCTCAGTGAGAGACCCTGGGTCAAGCAATAAGGGGGGGGGGGGGAGTGGTTGAGGAAGACACTTGACATTGACCCCCGCCCTCCCTCCCCATACCCCATCTCTCACATGTATATACCCCCACCACACACACACACACACACACACACACACACACACACACACACACACACACCCTGCAGATGAATATGGGAATGGCCAACAAACACAGGAAACAGTTCTCAACATTGTTAGTCATTAGGGAACTGCAAAGCAAAACCTCAATGAGCTACTGCGACATACCATCAGGATGACCCTAACAAGCATAGGATGACCCTAACAAGCATAGGATGACCATAACAAGCACAGGATGACCATAACAAGCACAGGATGACCATAACAAGCAACACGTGGCCTAGACATACAATGGAACACTGTGCACTCATAGAGAAAGGATAAAAGACCAACACAATGCTGATGAATCCTGAGCCACAAAGGCCAAACATTTTAAGATTCTGTTTGTATGAGAATAGGCAAATCCAGAAACAGAAAGCAGATCCGTGGCTGTCAGGGCCATGGAGGAAGGGAGGCTGACTGTTCTGTGGGAAGGGTGATGGAAAGGTTCTAGAACCAGACGGGCAAAATGGTTGCATGCCACTATCAATACACTTAGTGTCATGCTTTAACAGACCTTAAGACAATAAATTGTATGTAATTATGTACTTTATATTTTACTACAATAAAAAATGATAATTGGCCTGGAGAAATGGCTCAGTGGGAGAAGGTGCTTGCCACCAAACTTGACAACCTGAGTTCTACAGCAAATACTCACATGGTGGAAAGAGAGAACCCATCCTTGTAAGTTGTCCTTTGACCTCTCCATGCACACTGGGGTACACGCATGTGCACGTGTGTGCACACTAACACACAGATGCACAAATAAATGTAATGAACTTTTTTTTTTTTTTAAAAAATGAGAACCATTTCAGCATTTGGGAGGTAGAGATAGGTGGACCGGGAGCTCAAGGTCATCCACTGTCGGGTACCAAGTTCAAGACCAGCCTGCGCTAAATGAGAACCTGATAGGGGCAGGAAGGGGAGATGAGAATCCTGTTTTCCCAGTGCTAAAGTATCTAGTGTGGTGATACGCATTCATAAAAGCATAGCAGACCCTGCTCCAAAACCGTAGGATGTTAATTTGCACAGGCCATCAGTACAACTCCAGCTGTCGTTAAACTCTCGAATTTCAAGATCGGTGCTGTTGCTGAGATGAGAAACTTCACTGCGGCTCTTCACAGACTGTTATCAGGGATGTCACTGCAGGCAGACATGGACGTCCCAGCATGATCAGAGGCATTCAGAAAGGGGGCAGAGACAGCCCATCCTCTGCGGGGCACACAGGGGGAAGCCATCACCTCACCCCCAGAAAGTGCTGTGGACACTGAAAGGAAATGCTGCCCTTGAGCATCCAAAGTGCTCAAGTTCTGGGATGCTCCTAGGATTCCCCCGGCAACCTACCAATGGCCTCGGTGCCGTTGGCATTCATCCCGTAACAGCAGCAGATAAGATGCGCTTGAACGTTCTGTTCCAGAGGATTCCCTGTGCTCTGTTCTCCTACACCCAGGCCTTTCACTCCCCTCCCTTCAGGTCTCAAGGCTCTGGTCTGCCTCTAATAGTCACCTGAGCTGATCTTCAGATCAACACACGGTGCCAACTGTAGGCTCCTGAGGTGTCTGAGAACTTTGGAACCAAGGCCAGGTGTCTCGTCAGCCACTGACGAAGGCAGGATTACCAGATCTGGGTTTAATCAGTTTGGACCATATGGCTCTTATCTAGAAATTCTTGCATGTGCAGTGGCAAGTCAGGGCTCAGCACACTGGAGCTGGTCAAACAGCCTACAAATAAAACCACCGAACGTAAGAATAGCTACACCAGGCCTGCACTACCACAGGCCAACCCCTCCACAGCAAAGAACTGTGAGGTCAAAACAGGCTCAATTATTTTCAAAAACACAACTCCTCTTTATAACTGCCACTTATTCTAGTTTCAAATTTCTGGTTTCTATGAGTGGAGAAGATGTACTTTAAAATTATCAGCATCCAAAAATTTTCCAGGGGAAGCTCATTGGAGGCACTATTAGAAGGGACCTATCCAGTCACTGAAAAGAAGGCTACTACTCGTCTGGGCAAGAAAATACACAAGATTCCATACATACACTGTCAAGCCTGGCAAGAAAGATCTTAGCTGACTTCCACCCTTCCCACCCAGCCCCAAGTAAATAGGACATTTGTTTGTATTTCCACATTGGCTGCACCAACGAAAATACCTCCTCCACCTAGAAAAACAATCCGGGACATTCAGGCATGGAATATGAGGGCAAAGTTTCAGCACACACTGGAGCACCTCACAGAAAATGATTTTTCAGAAAAGTCTATCCTGCAAGCACTTTCCCCAAGTTTACACTTAATACCTGGTTTGTTCTTTCTAGATCGTTCCGGGACAAAGCTTTTTGTTGTTGTTGGGTTTTATTACAACTGGAACCAGAAAGAGTCTTCCCATAGAAGGACTTCAAAGTTTTACTCTGTTTAGGGGGAAATACACACACACACACACACACACTCTCTCACTCTCTCTCTCTCTCTCTCTCTCTCTCTCTCTCTCTCTCTCTCTCTCTCTCTCTCTCTCTCTCTCTCTCTCTTTCATTTTCTGCTTTGCACTGAATAGGTTCAGGCAAAGAGTTAAAAGTTGTCCTGCGGTTAAGTGGCAAGGGGAGGTGGGGTTAGTTGCTTAAATTTAGAATCTGTAAAACAATGCAGGGAAACTTTCCGTCTTGGAGAAACGCTGCAGTTTGACTGCCTTTTGTTAAGTCGTGTCCCATTAGGCACATACTCTTTCTAATCCTGACGCCCCAGTTCACCGGGCAGATCTACACACACATCCCTGTGCGATTCTGTTACCTGCGGGAAACTGGAGGGGCCACGGAAACCTACGGAAAGATTCGCGCAGGACCCCGGTTTAACAGGTGGCTCTGGCCATCTCCCGGGTCTCAGCCGCGCAGGGGACACGGTCCTCACACGCAGTCTGGCGCCGATCCCCTCTCCGGGCTCCGGGAAAGGGCAGTGGGGACCAAAGCCTGGGAGTCGGGGACCTAACGCAGTCAACACGCCGCGAGCCCCTGAGCCCTCGCCTTCGGGAAAAGCCCGAGGTGGGAAGCCACGCGCCGCGACCCCTTAAGTCCCGGGATGAAGGCCATTGGGTGGCACTGACCTCGGCGACGACGGGCGCCCAGCTGCGAGCAAAGGATTTCCCCCAACTTCAGAGACCTGGACCCGGCGCCCTCGACGATCCCGACAGCCGCTGCCGAGCCCCGCGCCCCGCGCCCGGCCTGTCCCAGCTCGGAAGGGCCGAACTCACCGAGCCAGGTCCCCTCCGCGGGCCGCAGGTGTCCACGCCGACTACGACCCGCAGCGCTCACACCGTCCACCCGTCCGCAAGCCGCGCACGCTCGCCGACCGTCCGGGACAGCCCGCCGCGCGCTCCCCAGGGCGCCCGGCACCTCCCCGCCGCGCGCTCCCGGTCGTGCGCGCTCCGCCACCCGGCTGCACGCTCCGCACCTCTGCCGCGCGTTCCCGGCTTCGGGACTCTGGTCCTCCAGCGGTACTCTGCGCGCCCCCGCGATATTTAAAGGGCCAGTGCCTGCAGTCCCTAGCTGTGCCTCTGGCCACCTTTCAAGGTCTTGGTCTACTTGTGCGACTGAATGGAGGGATAGCAGCGTGACATCGTTATGCGGATGTGCTTTTGAAGTCCTGAATGAAAGGGGACTTCTCCAGCAACTCTGTGACCAACTCTGAGAGTTTCATTGATGTCTGTGTTTTGATGTAGGGTTTCACCATGCAGGATAACTTCAGATTTGTGATCCTCCTGCCTCAACTTCCTGACTTCTGAATTACAGGCATTCAACAGCAACACTATCTTGAAGAGATTATTTTCATTTAATAATAACAACGACTGCTAGTTATGGAATACTTATACTCTCAGACACATACGTTATTTCATTTAATTCATTTGGGAAATGCTTGTTGTATTTTTTCCTATTCATTTTTTTCGGGGGAAGCGGTGTAGATTTTTGTTTGTTTGTTTTTGTTTTTTGAGAAAGGGTCTCACTATGTAGCCTTGGCTGGCCTGAACTCACTATGTAGACTAGGCTGGCCTCCAATTCAGAGAACTCCATCTGCCTAGCTGGGATTAAAGGCGTGTGCCACCACGCCCAGCTTTATTTCATTTTTAATAAGAGTTGCATATGTTTGCGAGGTACTTGTGAGATGTCCCCATACATGTGCACATTGAACAGAGTTTTTAGCAGAGTAAGCATAGCTAGAGCTCCTTAAATATTTATCTTTTTTTTTTCATGAAAAAAAATGTCAAAATACTCCTTGCTTTTTTGAGAGCTCTGGTTTCTTTTGGTACATTCATTCATTCATTCATTTTTGTGTGTCTGAGTTGCTGCACAAAAGTGAAGGCCAGAGGGCAAAAGTGAAAAGGTCAGAGGACAAAAGTGAAGGTCAGAGGGCAACCTTCAATTTCCAATGCAAGGGCTAGAACCCAGGGCTCATGGCAAGTGCCTCAGCCTGATGAGCCATCTCCAGGGCCACATCCTTTGGCTTCTTATGGTCATTTTGCAGAGAGGGGATACTGAGGCAGACAAGGTGAAGAAATGCTCCGGTTTTGACCCTGCCATTTGTTGCTGTGTCTTTCATCACCGGAAATACTTCTAAATAGCTAATGATATAGCTGACTGTGGGAGCCGTTTGTAAGTGGGTGAAAGTTAAGGTGACCAGTGAGAAAGCCTGTGTCTTTTTAACTATGAGACTTGGTAGGGGCTTAAACGACAGCCATTGTAACAACCTGTATTCCCAAAACGTTTGTGTTTGTACCCATTTCACAGAAAACTAAGAAAAGAAGTGGCTGGCTACACAAAACGCCTGCCTGGGTTGCAGGCAGCTGCCAGGGCTGAGTCCAATTCCTCGGCCATTAGATCATACTTTGGCCCTCCCCAGGAAGAAGAGGTACCTGATTAAAGGGAAGACATTTTCTCTAATAACACATTGGCCTCACCTAGCTCCCTGCATCTTTAATTAATGTTTACAAAGCACTTTAATCTACCCAACATGCTAGTTAATTAGGCAAGTATTATTATCCCCTCTTTCTGAACCAAATCCAGGAGAGACTAAGCTGACAGTTCCCTGGTCCTTGCTGAATAAAGTTTTTGTGGCATGTTTCTTTCTTGTAGCTGAAGTAAAAGGGAGGGAAGGGGAAGGATGATGGAATTAGGCAGGAAAAAGATGAAAGCAGAAAGAAAAAGATAGGGAGGGGAGGAAACATACAAGAAAGCAGTTAAGACCAAGAAGACATTTCACCCAAGAGGCCCCTCCCCCTAGCAAACACCAATGTTTGTGCGAATTAATCCTGAGTGCCTTTACAGATGAACAGGAACCTGCTCAACTATGGAGAACGCACTGGCTTCACTTCCGGCGCACCTCCTGTCAAAAAAACCCTGTGCCAACCAGACACATACACGGGACATATATGGTGAGAAAAGACCCAAAGTGAGGTGGAGAAAAATAGATATACAGTTTAGAAGGGTCTTTTAGGACAGTTATAAAAATACTTAATCTCTAGGAAAGAAACCTCTGGAACAGTGGTTCTCAACCTTCCTCGTGTTGTGGTGACCCCCAACCATGAAATTATCTTCATTACAGTAATTGTGCTACTGTTATGAACATAATGTAAATATCTGTCTTCCGATGGTCTTAGGCAACCCCTGTAAAAGGGTCCTTTGACTTCCCGATGGGTCGAGACGCAGAGGCTGAGAAGCACCGTCCTAGATGGTGTTGTCTATAGTAAACTTACTGCTTTTATTTTTCAAGTTTTACCATCCTGAATGCCAGGATTATAGCTGTGTACCTGTGCTCTGCTCCGTTCCCTCACACCCATGCCTTTTTTTGGTGGTTCTGAGGATGGAACCCAGAGCCTTGCATTTGATAGGCCACGGCTGTTCCTGTGAAACACATCCCTAGTCTTTGTCACTGCTTTAAAACTCAAGAAATTTGCTGAGCAGGGTGGCGATTGCCTTTAGTCCCAGCAACACGGTAGCAAGCTGTTTCTTTGTGAGCTGGACTCTGGCTTGGTCCACCTAGCTAGTTCCAGAACGGCCAGAGCTACATAGTGAGACCCTGTCTCAAAAACAAACGAACAAAACCTAAAAACTAAAGGCTGGAGAAATGGCTCAGCAGCTAAGAGTCTCTTACAGAGGACCCAGATTTAATTTCCAGCATCCACATGGTAGCTCGAGGCTGTCTATAACTCCAGGGTTAGGGGATCCGAGACCCTCTTCTCACTTCTGCAGGTAACAGGCACCCTTGTAACTTTATAAAACTTATTTTGAACTCAACTTCAGGTTTTTTTTTTTTTTTTTCTTTCATAATGCTGGCAATTCAACCTACATGGCAATCAACCACATGCTTTCTAGGCAAGTGCTCAACCTCTGTGTTCCAGACCCCGCTGCAGTAGGGTCTTCTTCTTCTTCTTCTTCTTCTTCTTCTTCTTCTTCTTCTTCTTATTATTATTATTATTATTACTATTATTATTATTATTATTATTATTATTAAATGTCTTCTTCAGCTGGCTTTTGCTAAGATCATGATGTGTGCTACGGTTTGGAGCTGGAGCGTCTCCCAAAGCCCTGTGTTCCAGCATTATCATTAGCCTATGGCACCTTGGGGAAGTAATGGGACCTTTAAGAGGTGGGGACTCGTGGGAGGAATCGAGGTCTTGTGTGCCTGTCCCTAGACCAGATATTGGGACACTCACTCCGTGGGCAGGGGTACCTTCTTGGCTGTCTCTTGTTTCTCTGTACCGGATGGTGAGCTCTGTTCTACACGGGTAAGGCTTTTCTTCCCTGCTGGGACAAGGCTGTGAGGAGGAAGGCCTTTCCTAGAAACAGTGTGCTGGAGCAAAGACATCAGCTGCCCTGCCCTGCGGTTTTGAGTGTATCCTCTATCCAAAGCCTGAAGTAAGGTCAGTTGGAAAAGTGCTGCCCTAGCCTGCAGGAAGCCCCAGGTTACAGACCCATCACTATATAAACCAGGCAGAGTGGCTTACATCTGTAATTTCAGCATTCCGGAGGTGGAGGCAGGGGAATGAACAGTTAGAGTCATGCTTGGCTACAGAAGAGCTCAAAGGCCAGCCTGGGTTGCCTGAGACCCTGTCTCAAAAAGTAATACTAGAAATTGAAAACAGGGGCTGGTGAGACGGCTCGGGGTCAAGAGCGCTGACTCTTCTTCCAGAGGACCCGAGTTCAATTCCCAGCACCCACATGGCAGCTCACACCTGTCTGTAACTCCAGTTTCAGGGGACCCTGACACCCATGGCAAAAACACAAATGCACATAAAAATAAAATAAAATATATTTTAAAAAAAGAAATTGAAAACAGATTCAAGTATTAGAACTCTGGGTATGGAGGGTGGGTTATCTTTCCATATATATGTGTATATGGGTGTATAGATATACACACATATATAATTTTTTTCTTTTTAAGCATCACTGTTAACCTTCTTGAAAAGTTGTTACTGAATTATTTTCCAGGGTATATCCCTCAAAACGTTAGAAAACTTTACTTTTCATTGTTAAGGTGGAAAGGGGACAGGAAAATCCACTCAGAAGGTTACGTTTTACAGGTTCTCTCCCAGCCTTGTCAAGGGTTTTTAACTCTCAGGGTCCTGATTCTGAAAGAGCGTCTAAAGAGAACTTGAAGAACTCTTGGGTGGGTAGCCTCTGTTCTAGATAGGCTCCTACTGTGATGCATTGCCTCGCCTCAGGTCCCAAAGCACTGTTGCCAAACAACCATGGACCCAGAATGGTGAGCAACGACCCCCATCCCCACCCCCACCACCAATAGCTTATTTACAACATTTTGTCACTGTCCCGGAAAGCTGATCGACACCCGAGTTCCAAATTGGAAACAAATACAAACTATATAAAAATAAAGATTTTAAAAGTATGCTAAGAGGGGCTGAAGATGTGTAAACCTGGCATGGAAGCTCCCTAGCACTGTGTCAACCCGCCATAGTACCTCAGAGGATCAGAAGTTCAAGGCCATCCTGGGCTACTTGTTAAGACCAGCCTGGGCTACAAGAGACCCTGGATGAAACAACAACAAACTAGTAAATTAAGCTAAACATGTTCTCACTTTATAAGAGAAAAAAAAATCACATGCTATGTAGTACCATTTATGTGAGTATGGAACTTACATGATCTGTTTAATTTATACCACCCCGTGACATCATAGCTTCTCTAATGTATGGAAATGCACAGTGGTGTCCACACAGGGATGAAATCACCCACTGACACACCCAGTCAAGGCATATTTCAGCATTTAAGCTTTGGAAGCGCACATGAAAAGTGTACATGAAAAGACATGAAAGAAATATGTCCAAAGGATGAAGTTCCTCATTCTGGGGGTGATTATGGGTGATTCTTCTTACAGTATTTATACTCTCCACAAAAAC